GGTAATTTACCATGGAAGGAGAGATCAACCACTTCTAAGGTGGAAATTAGGAAGGGGTAACATGAATTTGAACTAAATCTTTCACTACCTGGTCAATCTTTTGTATCCTTTTGAGGAGTGAGTCATGTATGGCAGAGTTTGCTGTCTGTTTCAGTATCACTGGTCACCCCCATCATAAGCTGTCTGTCTATGTCTGATAGAGAGTCTGCATCAGATTCGCAAATCCCAGTCAAATCTGTAAACATTTAAAGATTAACTTATCAAATATCAGAAGTACATTACACACTGAGATAAAAAAAAAAAATTATTTTATGCAACATTATTTTCATTCGGGTTTATTTTTGCCCACTTACCGGTATTTTTTCAAACAATTTAGCCTTATTTTAAATTCACCAAAACTTCTCACACTTGTGAAGAAAAATAAAATTGAATGTAAAATTTTCCCTGCATACAATACTTATTTCACTGCGACAAAAAAAGATGAAAAGGTATAAACTCGTCTGCAGGAGAAACGAAGAGCCTGTCTAACCTTGAAGCCTCCTGAGTTGAGTGTGTCTGCGAGTCTGACTTGGGTATGAGGATGTCTGCTGATTGACAGGAACGCAGTGAATGAGATAATACTCCAGGTGGCGCCACAACATGAACAGACAGTTCTCCAAGATGTCTGCAGCACAGTCAAGGGAGATTACTATGATTTATGTTTGATCTAGCTTTTCAATGATTTTACCTATCTTCATGTTTGAAAATGTACAGAAGTTGCCAACATTTTAAAAACAAGAGGCCCATGGGCCTTATAGGTCACCTGAGCATCATGCAACAACTTTTCAGTGGTTGAATTTGATTCATGTTTTAAGCCAGATGCTATATGGCATTCACAATTTTGAAAGAGGCACATTGATCATCATAATTATACACTTAGCAACTGCTTAGTCTGGTTACTTAATACCCATAGACAGGACAGCAGAACAAAAAATGCATATCAACTAATCAGTAATATTCAGCAATAATCAGTGGTGCCCCTATCACACATGAACCCCTGACCTTAGGTCCACACATTGCACAATTTTTGAAAAGGCACCCTTGCTTTTCAAAACTATTTGATTAATACCAAGGAGCAGATTTCAAACAATTCATTCATTTTCAGTCTATAAGTACAGCCCCCCCTCTATGGTACCCCTCACCCTGGGGCCTTTGAAATTCACAATTCTGGAAGATTAGGGCCCTTGCTCATCATAACTATATAGGTAGTTCATCTGCTTAATACCAAGGGACATAGAAAAAAAATTCAAAGATTTAATGTATTTTCACTATGAAATCAATAGAGCCCTGCCCTAACACCAGAACCCTGATCCTTAAGGAGGAACAGGACCTTTAGCTGAAAAAATTCCTGTCAATGAATTTTTTTCGTATTTTTTATATTACTAATTTAATATGTACTTAACATTTTAAAACGGTCCTGTCATGGGATTTCTTGACTAATTCAAAAGATTTCACCCCACAAATACCGCCCTGTTTAGAGTTTGTATGCAGTTTAGATACTTCATGTTTACGGGCCCATAACGGAATCCATAATGCGAATTTTTACGCACAAACGATAAATATGATAGCTAACGCTATATACTCAAATATTTCAGAATATTCATATTGTTTAAATTATCTGAAAGCAATTGTTTTAATTTTATATAGTATTTGGGTGGGATAATTTCTGCATTTTTCAAGGCAGCTTCAACGACAAAAACCTCATTTGGAAAAAATTCTGTCAATAAATATTTCTAAATTTACGATTGAATGTCAGTCCTTCATCGTAATTATTTGTCATTAAATATCACGGGTGAAGCTTACCTCAATATCGCACAGATTATACGTTGAATTAGATGTAAGCATGATAAAAATGCTTCATGTTTGTATTTTCCGAGTGCGGGAAATCAATTGTGACGTCACACAAAAATATAAACATTCAAAATTATCTAAATAGAGAGAATCTATGATACTCATAGGAAAAAATATTAATTTTAAAAAATTTGCTTCAGAAATTACTCATGAATACATTGACTGTGACCTGTTATTATGAAATAAAACTGACCATGACAGGTGTGTATTACTCATCTGACTACACTGAGATTCAAACACTAAACTCTATGACGTCACTGACGTCAACTGCAGGGTAAAGAGAAAACAGATGTGTGGATTTGGCAACTTCACAATATCTAAATAGTGGCAAGATCTTTAAAAATTTTATTAATAATAATTTCTAAAATTAAATGTTTAAAAAACAATTTTAGAATTAAGAATAAAATTACACAAGAACTGTTGATTTTAACAACGTTTAAACATGTATACATCACCGATTATGACGTGATAAGTCTTTTTAGTCATGTGACATGTGTCCTGTCTCCCCTTAAGGGCCATAAAATTCACAATTTTGGTAGAGGCACTCTTGCTCATCATATTACTATCAGTATGCACTTAGTTACTTTATTTAATACCAAGGAGCAGAGAAGAAGATTTTTTAAGATTTAATGTATTTTCACTATGTAATCAATAGAGCCCTGCCCCAACACCAGAACACCTGATCCTGGGGCCATAAAATTCACAATTTTGGTAGAGGCACTCTTGCTCATCATAACTATGTACTTGTTTAGTTTATTTAATACCCAGGATCAGAGAAGAAGATTTTCAAAGAAATAATGCATTTTCACTATATACTCGTTTTAGCCCTGCCCTTTAGCATTAAAACCCCTGACCCCAAGGCCATGAAATTCACAATTCTGATAGAGGACTCAATGCTGATAACAATCATGCAAACAGTTTGACTGCTTGACGTCCAGGAGTAGAGAAGAAGATTTTTAAAGATTGCACTAATTTTAGTGGTTTTGGCCCCACCCCTCAGGCCCCAGGGGGACAGGGACCATGAAATTTATAATTTTTGTTCCCCTTCACCCATAGACGCTTTGTGCCAAATTTGGTTGAAATTGGTTCAGTGGTTGCAGAGAAGAGGCTGGAAATGTTCAATTGTTAACACACAACGCACGATGAAAACGGATAGCAATAGGTCACACTAGTTTACTCAGGTGACCTAAAAATTGCTTCAACTTCAAACAAAAAACTATTATTCCTATTTTATAGTATCACTCTTCATTCATTAAGGATACAAGCAAAGTACTGCAGTTGTTCTTCTTTGTAGTGCACGATTTTGGTGAGGCTCGTTTTAGCGAGTCTCTGATGAGATGCGAGCTTCTCTTCAACTCCAGAAAACTAAAACACAGATTAAATAACATCATATATAAATATAAATATACATAAAACACATATAACCTAAATGACTAAAAATAACAACCTTCTCCCATTTCATCTCTTGTCGTATGTTATGCTTTGATTTTATTATTATCTCTGTACCTGTTTGAGGTCGTCTGTACTAAGATCAGCCAGACTCTGTAGCTTACGTAGATGTTGTTTGTGACTCTCGTACACAGACATGAAGTGGTTAGCACACTGACAGAGTTGGTACACCACCACCCCTAGGCTCAGGGCCTGGACTGTACATGTACTGCTTCTCAGGAATGAAGTGTCTGCAACAAGATATGTTACAAGTACATTTAAAACAAGAAATGTTTAAAAATAAAGACCTCTACCCTTTTATATAATAATATACAATTATTGCTGTTTTTTAGGTCAATATGATGATTTAGCCACCTTCGAAGTACAATATTTTGGCTCAGTGAATATTGTACTCCTCAGGTGTCTAAATCATCGTATTAACCGCAAAAAATAGCAATATCTACCTTATCACATGATTAAATGATAGCAAACTCCTACAAGACTGTTTCTATGCTTTAATTGAAAGTTTTAACAAGAAATTTCAACAAGAACACGTACATTGTAACAGAAACAAGAGGCCCATGGGCCACATCGCTCACCTGAGCACTAAGGGTAGGAAAAAGTAGAAAATGGCTTTTTATTGTAAAGTTTAAATCCAAAAGTAGTCCCATGACCAATCATGGATTTGCTATTTTTTAGAAAATGATTTTTAAATAATTTTCCTATATATATATCTATGTAAAAACTTTTGTCGGCCATTTTGGCCCAGCCCTACCCCTGGGGGTCAGGATTTGAACACACTTGAATCTACACTACCTGAGCATGCTTCCATATAGATATGATGAATTATGGCTTTGTCATTCTTGAGAAGAAGATTTTTAAAGAATTTTCCTATATATTTCTATGTAAAACTTTGGTCGGCCATTTTGGCCCCGCCCTACCCCCGGGGGTCATGATTTGAACAAACTTGAATCTACACTACCTGAGCATGCTTCCATATAAATATGATGAATTATGGCTTTGTCATTCTTGAGAAGAAGATTTTTAAAGAATTTTCCTATATATTTCTATGTAAAACTTTGGTCGGCCATTTTGGCCCCGCACTACCCCCGGGGGTCATGATTTGAACAAACTTGAATCTACACTACCTGAGCATGCTTCCATATAAATATGATGAATTATGGCTTTGTCATTCTTGAGAAGAAGATTTTTAAAGAATTTTCCTATATATTTCTATGTAAAACTTTGGTCGGCCATTTTGGCCCCGCCCTACCCCCGTGGGTCATGATTTGAACAAACTTGAATCTACACTACCTGAGCATGCTTCCATATAAATATGATGAATTATGGCTTTGTCATTCTTGAGAAGAAGATTTTTAAAGAATTTTCCTACATATTTCTATGTAAAACTTTGGTCGGCTATTTTGGCCCCGCCCTACCCCCGGGGGTCATGATTTGAACAAACTTGAATCTACACTACCTGAGTATGTTTCCACATAAAGTTCCCCATAAGTTTCATCTTTCCTGGCACAGTGGTTCTTGAGAAGAAGAGGAAAATATGCCACCAAATTTTCATTAATTCCCAATTATCTCCCCTTGAATGAGGGCGTGGCCCTTCATTTGAACAAACTTGAATCCCCTTTACCCAAGGATACTTTGTGGCAAGTTTGGTTGAAATTGGCCCAGCGGTTCTTGAGAAGAAGTCGAAAATGTGAAAAGTTTACAGACAGACAGACGGACAGACAGACGGACGGACAGACAGACAGACGGACGCCGGACAAAATGTGATCAGAAAAGCTCACTTGAGCTTTCAGCTCAGGTGAGCTAAAAATGGAACATGTAAATAATTCATTATATTGACCTGCAATAATTCCTGATATTGACCTGGAGGGTCACATGATTTATTATATTGACCTGCAATGATTTCTTATATTGACCTGAAAGGTGACGTGCAGGTCAATATAGCGTATTATTTTCTGAAATTGTTGGACCTCAGCCAATCAGAGAGAAGGAAATTATTCAATATAACAGGTATTGACCTCTGACCTTTAGTGTTATAAATAACTTACCATCAGTACTTCCTAGATCTCTAACAATGGCTTCATCCAGACTCGGTTGGAACAGAACTTGAGAAAACTGTGAGGTTAGACCTTCAAATTGATGAAAAAAAATCTGACATTACAAAAAGTTACAATATGTTTTCCTGATGCTGATATAACTTAACATTTACAATATGGTAAAGGCTTCTGAGAAAGAATAAGCATGAAATAGGATAACAATTCCATTTAATGTTACTGTAAAACAAGAATATTTAGCGCACTACTAATTTTAGTGCCTTTGGCGCATTAGAGTCCCTGGACGTTAAATTTTTTTGTCAAACGGATGTCTAAATTTTTTTTGTAGGTTAATGTTCAAACTTTCACATAAGTAAATGTAAATGGAATGTGTGATCACATAATATTGAAGGGCCGTTGGATTTTATATATACACAGCACTGTATAGGTCGGTTCAATCAAGAAATTTCTGCCAAATTTTAATTTAATAAAATTATTGTTAGTTGTTACCCGATACTTACTATAGCACCTTCAAAGTTTGGCTTCTCCCCGTGTCAATCATCTATCGCTCTAAAGTAAACAATGCAATCAAGCATGGCGATTGAGCTTGCAGACAATACTTGATTATGATTACCGTTTATGGTTATACTTACAGCTAGCCCCTGTGCAGAGAAAACTGGAAATGTCACCATACACACCTCAGTCCCACAAATCACTGCTAAAAACGAACAATCAGATTTGGTCAAAAAAACGTTCACAATCAGTATGATACCAGAAGAACAGTATCCCTCAACATCTTGGATTAGAGTTTATACAGACGGATCAGCCAAAAATGCAACAACAGAAGGAGGAGCGGGTATCTACATCGAATACCCTAACGGAGAAAAACAGTCAGAGGCAATACCAACAGGCCTTCGTTGTTCCAACTACAAAGCCGAAGAAGAAGCCATCACCCATGCAGTACGCTCCATCAGAGACAAGGCCAACAAAACAATAACTGTAGTATTCCTGACAGATGCCCTATCTGTATTGCAAGCCATTAACAACGGTAAACTCCCTGAACTTGAACAAGATCTACACAACATCAAAAGCCTTCAAACAGCATTACAATGGATACCATCTCACTGCGGAATCAAGGGAAACGAAAACGCTGATCAGCTAGCAAAGGAAGGAGCCAAACAACAGCAATATGAAAACCAAGTAGGCTTCTCAGAGATGAAAACCATCATCACATCTCTACACAGAACCCCTCAACAACAAGACAGCTATCACCAACTGGCTAGACCTGAGCAGACGACCATCTTCAGACTTAGGACAGGACAAAATAGACTCAACCAACATCTGCATAGAGTCATGAAAGTCATACCATCACCCATGTGTCCATGTGGAGAAGCTGAGCAGAATACAGAACACCTCCTACAACACTGCAGAATACACCAGGCACTGAGAAACAACACATGGCCAACACCAACAACGCTACAAGAGAAGCTTTATGGACCAGTGGAAGCCCTACAGAAGACCACCAGATTTGTAGAGGAGACTGGGACTCAAGTGTGATTCGGCGAACAAAAAGAAGAAGAAGATAACCGTTTATCAAAGTAACTTCATTGTTATAATATGAATAAAATGCGTAAATACTCTACTTCTTTTATTTAAAATAAAATTTAACATTGTGCCACGTCCATGTGATTGCAACACTAAAGAAAAGTTGACGAATGTTTACCTAATTATGAGAGTGATATTGTGTTTCCGTGATTGACTAACCAAAAAGACAAATTGGGGGTGGATAAAAATATCACATTTA